CATCATAATCAACATCATGTTTATCATTAAAATAACACATCATAGTATAACAACATGTAATAAATCAATCTCATAAACATATAGATACTGGAATCATGCATAAAAACACTAATATAATTCAGTCATAATATAGTTCATCATGTCAGCTTCCTAACGCTTCGAACGCCGCGTCAAACAGACTCGTGAAACTTAAGTTAAGATGTTTTGAATGTTGTTGTCAGACTGCATCGCCTTTGCACCGCTGTTAGACGATAACGCGTATCTAGAGGGGGGTGAATAGAGGTGAAAAAATATTTCTATACACAAATCTATAAATTAATTGTTTTTGAAACTTTTTGATGCGGGAAGCAATTAATTGGATAAGTCGTCAAAAAACAACTTATTAGAAACTCGGATATACAAATTATACAAGGTTAATCTATGAGATAAAATGAGTAATAGATTAAATACAAAATCAAATCAAAAATCCACTTTATTTATTGTTTGAACACAACCGCTTTGCAATGCTAAGGTTAAATAATAAAAGAACTAACTTGATCATTTTATCAAACACTTGACGTGCAAGTGAATTTTCAGAATTTCTGTTTGAGTGGTGTTGATATACAAACCACTTATAATCAAAATTGATTATAAGCTATACCCACACCTATTTCAAAAAGTAGATTTTGAGAGAAAAATTCTTACAATTCAATTACTATCACAATGCTATTTGATAAAAAGATTGATGAAATTGAAAGGAAGTAAAAGCGAAAAAATAAATGCACATAAGGAATTTGTCTACACAGTTCCCCACTGTCGTCCTCACGCGTGGATACGTCTGCGCCTAATTCCAATAGAACTAGGATAATTTTTATATGCAAAATATTTAATACAATGGAAGAGTTAGAAACAACAATACAAAACTCTCTAATTTGGTGTTGATGCTCCTTCTTCCAACCTTTGATCTTAAGCAAGATCAAATCAACTGATAGATGCAACCTATTCGCTGTTTAAGCTACTTCCTTGCAAGGATTTCAAACACCCCAAGGTTCCTTGCAAAGATTTGAAACACTCCAATGGATTTTTCACTCGAGTAAACCTAATTGTAAACTATAAACACAAGATCACTGATTCTATCATCCAATTCTTGCTACTTCCTTAAAAATATTTCAACCACTCTAAGGTTCCTTGAAAAGATTTCAAACATTCTAAGGGATTTTTCACATGGACGATCCTTCACACGATCTTGCACGAAAACCCCCAATTCAACAAATGATGTTGGAGGACAAACCTGGTGTTTTTTCCAGATGAAGACCCCTACAAGAACTCAACCCAAACCAATTGGAAATCCACAAATCTTCGTCTAGATGGCACCCTGACGGAACATCATCACAATATAATGTTAGTGCGTATGCATAGATTGGAAGGTTGAATATGAAGAGAAAAAGTAGGCTAATTTTATGGTATCATCAAGTTGTGAATGATGCATGAATGAGTATTTATAGCTGTGGGACAATTAGGGCAATAAGGAAAAATTTGGAATCAAAAAGAAATTAAAATATGACCGAATCAAACAGGATGGATAAACCTCAAACTCGTATGTGTCGACACATAATTTGTGTTTAGGTCGTATGTGTCGACCTAAAAAAATGTCATATGTCGACCTGAACAACTTAGAGGCTACAAGCTAAATACGCTAGTAGATGTGTTGAATTGAAAAACCAATGTGTCGACACATAAAATGGAAACATCTGCAATTTCAGAATTTTTTCAGTATGTGTCGATCTGTATGGATGCATGTGTTGACCTGAGACTTACATAAGCTACAGGCTTTAAAAATGAGTTACATGCGTCGACCTGAAACTCGAATGTATTGACACATGTAACGAAAAACTATGCAAAAACGGTTTTACAATGATTTGGATCAATTTCAATGTGCTTTTTGATGATTCCTAAGATATATAATGCATAGGAGTTCCACAAGACATAAAGATACCATTTACTTCACAGAAGTGTCATCTTGTTCCGGTTTTGACATCATACAAAACACTTTTGAAGCGAAGTTGTACTTGAAACGAAGTTGTACTCACAACCGCATGGAGCTTCTGATGGCACTCACATCGCTTCTTCATCGCCTGACGTTGTTGGGGTGCTGCCTACGAGACAACACTTCTCAGCCTGTGATTTTTCACGATTGGAGGCCTTTCGTACTTCCAAATTCGATTCCATAAAAAGTCTCAATTTCAGAATTCGAAATCCTATGATTATATAACATTTATAACATCATGTGACACATATTTAGAGGTCCTAACACCATGCATTCGTCAAGGATTCATTCATTTATTCGATATACGATATTTACCAATTTCATCAATTCATCACAATCATCGCACAAAACACAAATCTACCAACACCTTAACCCGATATCAATTATAATAAATATGATTAAACTCCTTACCTTAGTTCTTATCAATCGATTGATCTCTTTCAAACTCTACGAAATGAATTCCTCTTCACTTTTATCTGGGCCCTAGCCGCTTCTCACTTTTCTCCAAAAGTCACGATCGTATAGAATGAACGCACGTAACCCTAAATCTTCCCTTTTGTCATTCTTACCTCTTGGACCCCTATTATGTTATTTCATTCTTGCCCTTACTTACTCCACACAATATTACCATTACGCCCTCAACATCTCTACACCAAATATTATTTCTATTTAATTATTAAAAATAATTCTAAATAATTAAAACTAATTATCTAAAATATAAATAATTCGCATTATCTATTTAATCTAATACTACCCCACAACACAATACAACATATCATATTCAATAATACACCACATATTCACCAATAAATTACAAATACTAGTAATTAAATAATTAATTACGAAATTTAGGGTGTTACACGCTTCTCTGAAATGAGTCATCTTATAGCAAGTGCGTATGAGAGAGTGTGTATTAATCTTACAAGATACAATTTCTCAAAAAAAAATCTCACTTCGTACCGCTCCACCATCAAATCCCAATGATCGTATCATCTGTGTTGGATGGGTTTCAAATCCGCGGCATTTTGTTCAAGTATATGTGAAACTGGAATGCCCAATACCAGTTACATCACCAGAGTGGACGAATCATTACACAATCCATTTCGAGACCTGGCCGGGCTAATTTATTGAAAGGATGCAAGAATACGACAAGTTGAACAAAATTGAAATAGAAAAAATAGGGAAAAGTCAAAAGGGGTAGCACTGGTGGATTCTTCCGACGACACTTATTTCAGATCATTTAAGTAGTTAGGTATCATTTTATTGTATATGTCATTTTGTCCATGTATTATGCTGTTGAATATAGTCATTTTGTTCTTTGACCAAAAATATCATCTTTAAATACATGTATTATGGTTCTGTTTCCGTTCTGGTTTTCAGTCCCAAGAGACTTATCGAAAATATATTTACGGTTTATATTAGGATGAAACCGAAAATGCATTTCTGGTTTATAATCTGTCACATGATAGAATTTGTAAGGTCCGTGTTTGCCTTCAACTACTATAAATAACCTCACTTGGCATGTTGTTTCATACCAAAAACCAGAATGAATATCAAATGGTATGTTGGAAATGTCAACTTTACCGGCAATACACCATCACGAGAATTTAAGTTCACCGAGTACACCCCTCTTGAAGATCTGCAAGACATATTGCTGGACCTGCTATCATATGGCGACAATCGTAAAGTTGTGAAGATCGAGTATCGCTCGCCATCCGTTGATAAAGATGGGAAGCTTGCGTTCATCAACCGTGAGATGAGGACGACGCTGATATACGGGCTATGTGGCATATTTTCATCCGTTTTGAAGCGAAAGTTTCGATCGAGCTAGATGCGACTGTTTTGAGATCGATAGATGATATTATCAAGATGTTGCAACGATCACCTGGACGTTGAAGTGTAATGTTTGATGTATGTTTCAATCCTTAATGTATTAACTATTTTATAATATGAATTGTATTTTGAAATTGTGAAATTGGTATTATTCAAGGCTGTTTTTTTGTTCTCTGTTCATCACTTTATCGAAAATGTAAGTCCGGGTACAAATCGAAAATTAAACTCTGGTTTTAGCCAACATTTTTTCCAAACGTAGGTGCGTTTCGGAAATCTATTTCCAATTTTAAGGGATATTCTTGAAATTTCGTGTAGTTCGCGAGAAAAGTATTGGATGGAAAAAGAAATCCTCTAATCTTATGTTATTTGTTCTACACGACAAGAACAACATCTGACAATGATAATATCAAAAATATAGGAGAGCGACACTTTTACATATATAATATCACTTGATATTTATTTATCCATTTACTGTTAAAAGAGTTTAATATCTTTAATTTTTCATGTGTCACTTTTACATATATATAATATTATTTGATATTTATTAAAAGAGTTAACTGTCTTTAATTTTTCATGTCTAGTTCAAAAATATATAAGATATGTTGAACAAAGAAAAAACAATTTCTTTTAAGCATTGGTCTTAATAGTCCTCATGTGTCGAATGAGTGTCGAACACAAGTTCGAGAGTCAAAACAAAGATAAAAACCATTTTTAAAAGATATTTGTCTAAATTTTCCGAATTAAGTGTCTGACATTGACACAAGTTGGACTCCGTAACACGCCCACGCTTACTCCCTCCACGACACGCCTACACCTCCTCCTAAAAGTGTTCGTGCTTTAGATGCCTTATATAGTGTATTTACATAAGCTATTTTAAACACAACCTATGTGTAGTTTGAATATGGTTATGCAAACACAGATACAACATATCAATGTTTGAACCTAACAAGTAACTGGTGTGTTAGCTGCATAATTATTTTTGGGGTACAATGCAGTAAGTTTTACAAACCCTAGAATTCATGTGTTGGTTCAATATGTATTGATCCTCTAATTTTAATTATAACAAGAAGGGAGATAAATGGGGAACATGATAAATCAATTGAAGTGACTTATTAATCCCAAAAAATAAAAGGTTTAGTCTTCAAAAAATGGTAGGATCTCTGTATCTCTTGAAGATAGCTTCAATGCCTGCCATGACTTCAGCTGGTAAAGGCCGTTCTGTTGTTGTAAAAGCATCAATATTTTCTTTTAGTTGGTCTACGGAAGTTGCACCGATGATTGAACTCGTCATGAATGGACGGTCTCTCGCAAATCCAAGTGCGAGCTGAACAGGAGTTAGACCATGTTTCTCAGCCAGCTCAAGATACTTGATAGTTGCTTCCTGAAATCCAAACATGAAGAATCAAAGGAAAATACTTAATCAGTTATCTTGTTAATCATGGTTTATAGTATAGTCTAAACCAATGTTTCAAAAACCGAACTACATGAACTGGCACGAGATCTGTTTAGAGTTCGGTTATTTGAGTGCGGTTTAGTCACAGTTTTGTCCTAATTCATGCAGTTTAAAACAATTGACCCAAGGCCTAGAAGTCTTGTCAGTTTAGTTTTTATAACATTGTCTAAACACTAAAATACAAGAACGATAATTATTATTAAGTACCCGCGAAATTGATTTGTTATATCTTTCCATGTAGCCAGTGAAAAGATTTAATCTTCCACTTTTTCCAGCTTCAGAATTTATATCTATATATTTTCCTGTGAGTGTTCCACCTCCAAGTGGAGAATAGGATAGCAAGCCAATGTTGTAATTTTTTGGATGGCAAACTTCCACGAGATCAGCTGCAAAAACATTAAATCAGCAAAGAACTTGAAGAAGTTAAAAGGTGAACCGGAAGACCATTGTTATGATCGATGAATGAATGAAATCCGATTGATGTCAGAATTGTACTTACTTTCAAATCGACTTCTTACTAGCAAGCTATAGCTGTTTTGAATACTAACAATCTTTGGAAGTCCCTCAACTTTAGCTGCATGGACAAACTCCATCACTCCATATGAAGTCTCATTTGAAACGCCTATGTAACGTACCTGATGAATGGCAAAATCCAATGACATTGAATCCCATAAACATTTACAAGAGATTGAAAATGATATTAAATAATAATATATAATTTTACATTATAATCGAGGACACGAGAGAATGAAAATAATATTAAGGTAATATATATGAAGCATGTTAGGAATCAATCACCTTTCCTTCATTGATAAGTTCTTGAAAAGCTTGCAACTGTTCGACAAACGGCACACTAGGCCTCCATTTCGATGGATCATAGGAATATTCACCAAACAATGCAACATAGCGATCTGGCCTATAACGAAGCAGAAAATCACGTATTCGGAAATTAATAGCTCAGAAACTAGTTTAGCTGTCTGGTTCATCATCTCTAACATAAGATTCCTAAAACAATAAAAAATCCTAACTTTCAAACTCACCAGTGAATTTGCAACAAATCAATATAATCAGTCCCAAGACGATTAAGGCTTTTCTCTACACTTTCTTTTATATTTGCAGAATCAACCCTCAAAATGTCTGCATTGTCGCGTAAGTAACCCGATCTCTCAGAATAACCGCACACTTTTGTTGCTACAATAATCTATCCACAAAGAGGGTACACAAGTAGTTTCAAACTGTTAGCTCAACAAAGCATGATGTCAATAAAAAATCTTCCAAAATGACTGAAAGCCAAATCTCAATCTTACTTCAGGGTTAGCCTGTTATCTGTAGCAAAGCATGCCAAATTAAATCATTTTAATTTGTACTTCCACTCAATTCAAAAACAGCATATTGGATGTTCCATAGGCCTATAGGCTATAAAACTGATTTTAGTTTTAACTGTCTATGTCTTAAAAGCACATAAAAAAATAAGAATAGACTAAGTGAGTTGTGAACTGAAAACTAATACCTTGTCACGAGATTGAGATTTCAACCAGCTAGCAACATAGAGATCAGTTCTTCCTTGCGTTTCTTTCTTCATTGGAATTGGATACTAATTTCAAAACAAAAGTAATTTGATCAGAAACATAAACGGTAAACCTCACTGGTTATTCTTCAAATGGCATGTGGAGCTCGTGATAGCAGTACACTAGGATTATGTGAAGTAGATTGCAAGAGTTGCGTGCAGGGATACACGTTGATTAAGCAACAAAACAAAGAAAAGCAATTGCAAGAACATAATTATGTGCAGAGAATAAACCAGTGCGAACAAAAATTAAAATCGATCAAATAGGTTTAAACTAAAAAACAATTGAGTATCTTTTTATAGTTGCACTTTCAACTTTATGAATTATACAAATGTAGTTTGACAATTCAAACCCAAGATAATGAAAGCGACAAGAACGAGGCAAATAGGGTGTGTTAAGAAAAGTGGTTGGGGCTAACTCATTCTTACAAAACCGGCTTGTAGGGTGAGGATTGCCTTCACTTATAAGCATATGTCCAGGTAATATATTGTCTATTGTCTGATATGAAATAAATGGTGGGTGACCCGATAGCGGAAACCTGATAGCAAATGACCTAGTAGATCTGAAACTAGACTCTGATATCATGTTAAGAAATGTGTGGTTGGGCCTACAAAATCGGCTTGTAGGTTGAGGATTCCCCCCACTTATAAGTACATGTTCTGGCTAAGTGGAACTCTTAACATGGTGTTGTGTGCTTCAGAACCACATATCTCCAAGGGAATTTGAACTTCACCCCTGGAAGCTACAAGACTGAGCTCTTACCACTGAACCACATTCCACAAAAAAAAAAAGTAACTATTACATCTGGAACAAATTATTATTAAGTTCTTTTTCATCCAAAAAGTGAAACAAACAAGCATAATATCAAATATCACATCTGCAAGAAACCAACAAACTTGATAGACTTGAAAACAAAACATCCATTACTTCTAATCACCGAAAATAATATCAAATATCACATCGAAATACTTGAATTATGCATACTAAGATTCAAAGAACTTACAGCCTCAGCAGTATCCAGAGCATTAATCCCATGTTCAAACGCATAACCAAGCATATCATGAGCTTCTTTCTCCGAGTTTTGCTCCCCAAAAGTCATCTAAAACATTACACCAATCAATCAACAACATCCCACAATACTCAAATCATGAAATAGATGAATGTGAGAAGTAAACTTACAGTACCAAGAGTAACTTCACTGATGTTGAGGTCAGAGTCACCGAGTTTCCGGTATTGAAGAGGGTTGTTGGCGGCGGCACAAACGAGAGGCCTCACGGATGACCCGGTTCTTCTCTTCAGGAAGGTTCTTGTTTTGGTTGTTGTTGGTGTTTGAAGTGAGAGTGATGGTGTGAGAGAGTGGGAAAAGATGGCAATGTCGGAGGAAGTGGGAGAGAAGAAGGAACACCGACCGGCCATGGCTGTTAAGCTTATCTTTTACCTCCAAAAAGGTTGTTCGGTTTGCTGCTTCTTATGTTGTTACAAAGTTTCAACTTCCAACACACCACACTTTCACTGAACTCATTTTGGTTTTTTAAATGGACCCTATTAATTTTTATATATTATTTTAGACTTTTTCAATTATTTAAACAATTCATCTCTATTTTCTAAATATTTATCTAACCCATTTAAATTAATCAAGTGAACTCAATTACAGACCACAATATACCATAAATTTATTTAAATATTATTTTTTAATCTAACTTATATACTAAACAGCGTTCTATTGCAGAAGAACGGAAGCAAAATAAAATATGGTTCAAACTGTCAAATTCAGAAGCAGAAGAGGTATTCTCTAACTTTTTTAGATATCAATTAGAAGATAATCTATCTGAAATTCTTGAAAGATATTAGCAATTTCGAGTCAAAAACAAGAACCTGAAACACGGTCTAGTATCTGACTCTGAAGAAACTAAGAAACTAAAAGCATAAAATTCTGAGCTAAAAGATATTGGAAATGTAATTTAGTTAATGTCTACAATTTTCAATACTTATTCTTTATCAGGGCCTTTTGGCATTTTCAATTTTAGTATAAATATGCTACCTAAACTATCAATATTGTAACTCATTTATTCCTTTTTTGATATACAATAGTAGTCCTCTTTGTTATCATTCATTGCTCATTCTTCTTCTCCCCTTTCATTACCTTGCACCAATAAATTAGTATCAAAGCACTTGGTTCTGTTTTTCCTGGGAAACATGAGTGTTTGTGAGCTGTGTGTTTGATTTTGATTCATTGTTTTTTCTGTTGAAATCTTGAACAAAATCTGAACATAATTTGATTCTGTGGGTTGGGAAACAGTGTGTTTGCAGATCTGAAAATCCGTGCAAGGTTTAAAATGAGTTGAGACAGTAGTTTGAACACCAAACTTCCAGTTTTTAATGGCAAAAACTGGAACGGATGGATGATACAAATGCGTGTGCTGTTTGGTACACAAGATGTTATGGATCTGGTTACAGATGGTTGTGTACCAGTTGCAGCAGATGCAACTGAAGAACAGAAAACTGCTGAGAGGATGATGAGGAAGAGGGACCAGAAAGCTTTGTTCTATATCCATCAGTGTGTGGATGAAAGTGTGTTCGAGAAGATTGTTGATTCAACAACATCAAAAGGGGCGTGGGATTTACTGGTGAGATGTTACGGTGGTGACGCATCAGTAAAGAAGGTGAAACTTCAATCCCTACGAAAGCAATATGAGAACCTAAACATGAAGAGCAGTGAGAAAGTTTCTGAATATATATCCAGAGTGATTCTGATTACTAACGAGATGAAGGCGTGTGGAGAAACTCTGTCTGAATAGGTAATCATAGAGAAGATTCTAAGGTCGCTTACTCCTCTGTTTGATTACATTGTTGTTTCTATTGAACATTCTAAAAATCTGGAAACTATGAGAATAGAAGAATTACAAAGCAGCTTAGAAGCACAGGAGTTACGTCTGTCTGAGAGAACTTCTGAGAGGGAAGCTGAGCATGCTCTGGAGGCTTCTTTTGTCAAGAAAGACCAGAAGCAGAATAGACGTGGTGATAGATTCCAGAAGTCAGAAGCCTCAACTTCTGATGATAAGAAATATCATAAAGGAAAGGAAAGGTATGACAAAAGGAAGGTTCAATGTTACTCTTGTAAACAATTTGGCCATTTTGCCAGATATTGTAGGTTAAACAAGGAAAGGAAATCAGAAGAAGCATATATGGCTAAGAGAAACCCTGATGATGAACCTGTACTACTAATGGCTTCTGACTCTGATGGAAAATGCTCAGAAGATTGGTGGTATATGGACACTGGTTGTTCAAATCATTTAACTGGAAACAAACAATGGCTGACAGACTTTGACTCCAGAAGGAGAACAAAGATCAGATGTGCTGACGATAAGTATCTTAATGCAGAAGGTATGGGAAATGTCAGAGTTAGAGTGAAGAATGGGAAATACATTCTGATCAAAGACATTTGGTATGTTCCTGGTATTAGAAGCAATCTGATGAGCGTAGGTCAGCTGATTGAGAAAGGTTTCTCAGTTGTTATGAAAAACAATCTTCTGACGTTGTATGATTCCAATCAGAAGTTAATTATGAAGTCTGAACAAGAAGGCAACAGAACATTTAAGGTAAATATAGAAACAACTGAAGCAACGTGTCCTATTGCAGAAGTCGCTGAAGGTAACAATAAGTTGTGGCATAAGAGGTTGGGGCATTTGAACTATAGAAGCTTAGGGCATCTATGTTCTAAGAAGCTTGTACATGGTATTTCGAAGACTGTGAAGCCTGAGAAGTCATGTGAGATATGCATGAAAGGAAAGCAACCTAGATTTCCATTTACATCAGAAGTAGCCCCCAGAGCGAAGCATGCTCTGGGAGTAGTACATTCTGATGTGTGTGGACCATTTCCAGTACCTTCACTTGGAGGAAACAATTATTTTGTGTCTTTTATGGATGAGTTCACAAGAATTACATGGGTAACACTCATCAAGTTCAAGCATGAAGTGTTTACTGAGTTCCAGAAATTCAAAGTGAAGGCTGAGAAGCAGAGTGGTCAGAAGTTAAAAATTCTGAGAACAGATGGTGGAGGTGAGTATAACTCTACAATGTTTCAGAAGTTCTGTGAGGAGAGTGGAATAAAACACGAGGTTACTGCTCCATATACTCCTCAACACAACGGTATTGTTGAAAGAAGAAACAGAACTTTGCTTGATATGACCAGAAACATGCTGAAAGAGAAAAAGCTACCTCACGTGCTATGGGGAGAAGTTGTTGCCACATCAGCATATATTCTGAACAGGTGTCCAACGAAGAAACTGAAGGAAGTTGTTCCTTTAGAGAAATGGACTGGAGATAAGCAGAGTGTCAGTCATCTGGAGGTGTTTGGCTCTGTCTGTTACAAACACGTTTCAGAAGCTAGAAGACAAAAACTGGATGATAGAAGCAAAGTAATGTTGTTGGTGGGGGGTACCACAGTACAGGTGCGTATAAGCTTTATTGCCTAGAAACTAATAAGGTTGAAGTCAGTAGAGACGTTGTGGTGAAAGAGTCTGAAACATGGGATTGGAACAAATCTCATTCAGATTCTGGTGTAGTGTCAACACCAGAGTTAGCCCCTGAAGATGTTTTAGAAAGTTCAGAAGATGAATCTGATTCTGAAAATCCTGAAGATTTTGAAGATGAGTCAGAAGAAAATTCTGGAAATGGATCTGATTCTGATCCAGATGCTGATGATGATCCAGAATCTGGTGGTGATCATAGTTCTGGAAGGGAAAACTCTGAATGTGGTAATTCTGAAAGTAGTAGTTTTGGTGCAGCTTCAGAACAAACTCAAAGACCACAAAGAATCAGACAAAAACCAAGAAGGTTTGTAGATTTTGACATGTTGCAGGATAATGAAGTTGACTCTGAAGGAGAAGTCATTCAGTGTGCCATGTTAGTAGATTCTGAACTAGTGGGCATTGAAGAAGCTCTCAAGAAGAAAGAATGGCTTAATGCCATGAAAGAAGAACTTGAGGCAATAGAAAGAAACAAAACTTGGAAATTGGCTAAACTTCCAGATAAGAAAAAATCCATCAGCGTCAGATGAGTTTTCAAGTTGAAACTTAAGCCATATGGTTCCATTGGCAAGCACAAAGCTAGACTAGTAGCTAGAGGTTTTCTTCAGAAACTTGGGCTAGATTATTTTGAGGTGTTTGTGCTTGTAGCTAGGCATGAAACAATCAGACTGGTGATTGCTTTAGCTGCAGACAGAAATTGGCCTTTAATGCATCTGGATGTGAAGTCTGCATTTTTGAACGGTCCATTACAAGAAGAATTTTATGTGTCACAACCTCTTGGATTTGTGAAAAAGAAAGGAAGGGATGGTATACAGGTTAAATAAAGCTTTGTATGGACTGAAGCAAGCGCCTAGAGCTTGGAATCTGAAAATTGATTCATTTTTCAAGAAGTAGAGGTTTCAGGAGTGTGAGATGGAATATGGAGTTTATGCACAACACTCTGATAACAATATGATTCTGGTGTGTCTCTATGTTGATGATATTTTGCTAAGAGGTAGCTGCCTAGAAGATATAAAGAAGTTCAAAGAAGTTCTGATGACTAGACCTGACATTTGTTATGCAGTTGGATTGGTTAGATGATTCATGAGTAATCCAAAGTGGTATCATTTCCAAGCCGCTATCAGAATTCTGAGATATATCAAGGGAACTCTGAGATATGGAGTGTTGTTTCCTTCTGAAAGAAAGACAGAATCAGAATTAGTAAGTTATTCTGATTCTGACTGGTGCAGAGACAGAGTGGACAGGAGAAGTACTTTTGGATACTTGTTTAAATTTATTGGAGGTCCCATTTCCTGGAGTTCCAAGAAACAGTCTGTCATGGCTCTGTCAACATGTGAAGCTGAGTATATCACAGGTGTTGTAGCTTCTTGTCAAGCTGTTTGGCTTCTGAATCTCCTGCATGATTTGAAGGTTGAAGTTGAGGAACCTCTGAAGCTGATGATTGATAATAAGTCTTCAATTGATCTTGACAAGAATCCAGTGCTACATGGAAGAAGCAAGCACATTGAGACAGATTATCACTTTCTCATAAGTCAAGTGCAGAAAGGAGTGTTAGAAGTTATGCACTGTAGCACTCAGAAACAACTTGCAGATCTTCTGACAAAGGCAGTTAAAACAGATCAATTTCTTCATTTGAGAGACGAAATTGGTGTTGTTAGTTTCTGATAGAATATCTAAATTAAGGGATGGTATTGGAAATGTAATTTAGTTAATGTCTACAATTCCCAATACTTATTCTTTATTAGGGCCTTTTGGCATTTTCAATTTTAGTATAAATATGCTACCTAGGCTATCAATATTGTAATTCATTCATTCCTTTTTTTTTATATACAATAGTAGTCCTCTTTGTTATCATTCATTTCTCATTCTTCTTCTCCCCTTTCATTA